TTACTGATTTGAAATTGTTCCTGGAAGTGATACCACATCCAAGGTACGTTGGGTAATGAGTTAGTTATCACGTTCTTTTTGTGTGCTGAGAGGAAGAAGCATCTATGAAATCTAGCTTTTTCTTTCAAGTTCAATGTGTTCATGAAAACCGGGTAAAGAAAATTTTAAAAATCTTGAAATAGTAAAAAACCCACCAAACAGAAAAAAAATAAAACAACAGAAAACAACAACAACAACAAAACACCTTCCTTTTGAAAAGTTTTTTTGTTAGTTGTCATTCTTTACAAAGTTTCTGGATGTTACCAGCAAATAAATAATACTGAACTGAAGTAGTTTCTGAGCAAGCTCTCAGAAACTCTCTTTTGAGCCTTGCTGTTAGCAAGGGTTTGTGTTGCATCCTGTCTCATATGCAGTTTTCTTCTAGCCTAGGTCATTTTGTGTTTTATAATTTTAAGCTGCAAATATGTCCAGTGACATAGAATCCCTAAACCCCTCTGGGCAAGGTGTTTCTATGCTTAGCCTACCAGTGGTGAAGAATTTTTATTCCACGTGGAAAAAATTCCCATCTAGTTGTAATTTCCCATGTTCCGAATTGTGTCAGTTATCTATTCTTTCCCCTTTTTTAAAAAGATATTTTTCTTTCCTCCTACTGTGCACTTTTAAACTGTTTATTCTGTAACTCCAGTGTTGAAAACAGCAAAAGGGTTTATTCCTTCCTTCCCACCCACTGGAGCTGAATAAACCCTCTTCCCTGAGCTCTTCCCAGTATGCCACACACTCCAAGTTCCTCACTGTTTTATCAGCCCTTCTCTGCAAAGTGGGAAAGAGTAGTGAATTGCTAACAAAAGCTACGCAAACATTTTAAACCACTGAGTTAATTGATATAAAGACAATTCCTTTTTACTTTCCATAGCTTCTACTGAGGCAATTGCCTGTTCTTATCTTCTCAGTGTGACTATAGTGTGAGGGGAGATTCAGTTGAAAAGGATGGGGAATGGTTATGCATGCCATGCCTGACTCATCTGGAGTGCTTCCACCAATTTGGAGATACGGTTAAAAAGCAGCTTTCCAGGAAAATACCTGTAAAAGTACAGGTTATACTGCAGGCTTGTGTTAATGAAAAGAGTTATGTGAGTGAATGGAAGAATGGTTGGTCTTGGAGAACGAAAGAGTTGATATTTTGGGAGGTATGCTGGCAGGTTTGTTTGGTGTTCCAATCAGTTTATACATTCACTATATTTAAGTTTGTTGTGCAAAATAAAACATTTTTCACAATGAGAGTTTTAAAAAGGTAAAGAGGTAAAAAGTTGATGTACGCAGGGATCTTTTGTGGTATGCCCACTTTGTGGTTAACTCTGTGTGCAGATAGAACAGAAGAAAAATGAAGGCTTCTGTAAGCTCACCAAATAGAAAAAGGGAAGTTGCTCCATGTAGTTTATTGCCTCTAGAAAAGTATAACTAGATTATGTAACTTACTGTAGATAGTAAGTAGTTCCAGCAGTTGGTGATCAGGAGCAGAATTGCTATACGATGAGACAGAATCATTTGTCTGTGAATCACAGTGGAAAAGAAGGTGAAGTGCTTACTTGCTCAGGTGGAAATTGTCCTCATTCAGCTCTTTGTGCTGGTCACAGTATTTTTTGTATTCCTCCCACTGATGAGGGATGGTCAGCTTCTCTTCCCCTATTTCCCCACTCCCTTTATTTTCTTTGTTTTGCAGTACCTATGTGGAATTAGTAATGAAAATGGGTTTTACATTCTTTTTCCCTTTAAATGCCAGCTTAGTCTCTATAGGGTTTTTGGAGGTGGTGGTTGATTTTATCACAGAATCATAGAATCATAGGTTTGGGTTGGAAAGGACCTTTAAGATCATCTAGTTCCAACCCCCGTGGTGTAGGCAGGGGACACCTCCCACTAAACCACATTGCTCAGAGCTCCATCCAGGATGGCCTTGAGCACCTTCAGAGTGGGGACATCCACAGGATCTCTGGGCAGTCTGTCCCAGTGTCTCACTACCCTCACAGTAAAGAGTTTTTCCCATATATCTAGTCTAAATATACCCTCATCCAGTTGAAAGCCATTTCCCCCTGTCCTTTTGCAACATGGCCTTATAGAAAGTTCCTCCCCAGCTTTCCTCTATGCCCCCTTCAGATACTGGAAGGTTGTTGTAAGGTCCCCCTGGAGTGTTCTCTTATCTAGGCTTAGGACCACCAATTCTCTCACCCTGTCCCTGCAGAGAAGCTGCTCCAGCCCTTCATGGTCCTCCTTTAGACCTGCATCAAGTGCTGCTTGCCTTCTTGTGTTGGGAGCCCCAGAACTGGACCCAGTACTCCAGGGAGGAGGTGCACCTTCCTCAACCTGCTGGTCAACTTTTGTTCCTGCAAACAAACGGAAGGTGTGCACACTGAGTTCATGAAGGCCATTCATGAAAAAAATAATAGCAAAAAGAGAAACATTTTATACTCTGTGTGTTCTACTCCATATTTACAGAGGCAAAGTCGTCTTTGAAAATAAAAAAGCAGGATGCTTAGTTGAGCCCTGCCCTTCTGTTTAATGTTTTTGTGACCCAAAGGGGAAGGAATGTTGTGCTTTTAATATAAGTATTCATCATCAGGAACACAAAAGGAGAACAGAAGGCAGAAGTGAGATGAATAGCATAGCTTTATTGTGGCAGTTTGTTATCTCTGATCTTCACATTCAATTTAGGAAAGACTTCATCTAAAAACAACTTGGAGAAAGTCTTTTTACCTCACAGCAATTGCTCTTATGCTCATCTAATGCACTGTAACTCCTGTGGTATAGGAAGCCTTCTGATCCATCTTGGGCTGAAAGAACATATGATGTGGCATCACTGTTGCTCTTGCTCTGGATTTGTGATTTTGCTTTTTCTGGGGCTTTAAGTTTTGTTTAACCTTTTTCTTTTTTTTTTTTCTGGACAAAAACCATTTCTTTTTCTTCCGTGGTGCCAGTGAACCTTTTATTTAGAGTTTTGACATTTTTTTCTTCTCACACATGCACATGTCAGTATTTTAAAATTTCAGTTAATACAGATGAAGACAAAGGTCAGAACCATTGTCCCAGCATGATTATTTTTTCTTTTAAGATTTGTCATAGGGGTGCTGATGCATAGAGCTGTTTTGTCGCCTTTCTGTAATTGACTGTATGGGTGAACATTGAGAAAGTGCTTGACTTGCAGATGAAGAACAAGTTAGAACATTTTCATGTCTCAGAGCTGGTCTATGAAACAGCATTATGAAGGAGACAAACTTACAGGAGTGTGTTCATTTGTTGGTTTAATTTTTTTATTTTTTAATAATCTCCATGGGACAGAGTTCTCTTGTGACTGTATACTGCAAGTTCAATTTACTAACACTTTGAGGACAGTAGGGTAAATTCTTTGTTGGACACCAGGCCGGGAGTTTTTACCTTGCTACTCATGATGCTTATACATTCTATTGCATTTTCAGTTTACCTGGCTGAGCTGCTTAACGCAATTACTGATCACAGTGGTATTTTTTTTCCTACTTAACCCAGCTGTGAACATGGGTTTTCTGCTTATAAGTTGCTAGCAGGCCAGTATGTGTGAGAAAGCTGTATATTTTCTTGAAATACTTCTTCATAGGCGTAGTTTTCAATACAGAAAAATGGCTACACCTGCAAATAGTACACTGAGACTATCGAGCAGAAGTTCCCAAAGGTCATTTGGCAGTGCTTTTTAAGAAAAATATGCTCCAGAAGTCATTTTCTTTCAGTAACAGGACTCCTCCTCCACATTATCTTTCCCCTCAAGACACAATGTAAAAGCAACACTGCAGAACACAGCAGTATTGTACATGTTAGGAGAGAGAAAAGCAGTAGTTTATAGTATGAGATTCTCAGTAAGTAACGCACGTGGGCAGACAGATTCCCTCAAAACAGCTTTTATTTCAGTGGTGTGGAGAATATGTGGCTTTTGTGGTGAACAAGACTCAGTTGCAGCTTTCATTCTAGGCTTATCTATGTATTCTGTTCTCTTGGTACATGTTTTCCAAGTCTGATGTTTTTATGTTTAGCGTTTCAAGACATTCAAGCTACGTTATTCTGAGCCTTTAGGTTTTAATGAACACTTATTTAGGCTGAAGATGGGGAGAGGTGGGGAGCAAAGCTTTTGATGAAAGGTGTTTCCCAGCACATTTACTTCACTGCAAGGAAGCCAGTGTCGCTTTTATCCATAAAATGCATCCTAACATATGGTAACACAAACAAGGATGCCCAAATTGCATTAGTTTATTCATCTTAGCGCTATTTTCACTAGAATAAAAAATCTTTTTTTCCCCTTTACTTTTAGTATAATTTCTCTTTTGATTTTAAAATGTAAACTTCAAGGACAAAGTGACTGTTCCCAATTCAAGCACACATGTAGTGTGCTCCCATACTGTTCTGTGAAATACCTTATTTGTGCAGTCACATTGTCTTTGTCTCAACGACAGCAAAACTTTGATTTTAAGTATTCTTTTATTACTCAAAACAATGTGGGAGAAAGTCTGACATTCAGTCTTCCTTATTTGTTACGTCTCTCTTAACCCCTGGAGCTTAGAATAAATTTCAGTCTCTTGAAATAAGGAATTCTAGTTATATTGTTTTGGTAAAACTAAGACATTCTAAATTGCTGGAGTCGGGCCTTTATGCTTGGATTTGAGTTAACAGGTTTTAAACATGGCAGTTCCCTATGGCTTGTTCATGTCTTCATTACTTGAAACTTCATTACTAATTGGAAGTATCTCCTGTTGAAAGTCTCCACTAAAATTGTTTTGCACACCTTGTGCTATTTTGTTCTTGGCTATATGATTATTGTAGTTATACATATTGGCAGTAAACAAATATTTTTGTTTAATTTTGCTAGAAACGTGTAGAAATTTACATACCCTTCGTTGCTAGTCTCATTACTGTGAACAATACCTGTTTTGAGAGTACTTGATTTCTGATGTGTATTTTCTTGTCTTTTTTTTTTCTCCTAATAGAAAGCGATTTCTTCTCCAACGGTGTCACGCCTTACAGATACATCAAAATTCACGGGTTCTCACAAAGAGAGGTTTGATCCCAGTGGGAAAGGAAAAGGCAGAGCTGGCCGAGAAGATCTGGTTGATACTTCAGGATATGTATCTGGCTATAAGCATGCAGGCACATATGATCATAAAGTACAAGGAAGCAAGTAAGGCTGAAGGTTTAAAATACAGGGGGAGAAAGGGAGAGAGAGAATATATTTTTAAGAATGACATAGATGAGTCCCACGTGTTTCAGTTATTGTGAATGCTAAGACTATGTGTTCAAGAAGTTTTTTTCAGAAACTGGAACTGATTTTAACATCTGCTGAGCAACTTGCAGCGTAGCACCACTTCATTACATTCCTTATGTGTATATTGGCAAAAGTAAATGTACCAGTACAAAAAGGACATCATTTTGTTGGGCTCTTCAGACAAAAAGAAAAAAAAACAATGTCAAGAGCTGTTATGCCACACTTTGTCAATCCGAGCAAAAAAAAAAAAAAAAAAAAATTCAAACATTCCTAAATATCCAGTTGCTCTGAGGTTGTAGAAGAGAACCCTCTGAAAAAAGGTTCTTTCATAGCAGCATTTCTGAAAAGTATGCCATTACTTAGGCAGTTTGATTTCACTACTGTTTTGGGGCTTTTAAAAAATGTCTTTTATGGGATCTGGCACTTTTCCTTAAAAAAGATTCACCAGTGTATTATTGTGGAGTAAGTTGTTGTGTTATATAAGGCGCTAATCTGTACATTTCATACACCGTTTATGAAAAACTGAAAAGAAAGGGAAAAAAATATTTTTGTGACAATACAGGTTCTAATGTATTTATGTCAGCAGAAGGAGGTGGAAAATACCAACCCTTACTGTCCTCGTGTCTATACTTTCTGCATTGTTATTGTGTTTACTGTAGCGTGTTTCTGACTGGCTGGATTTAGATGGAGCTAATGTACTAACATGGTGGGTGAGGAGCAAGATACTACTAAGAAAGTCTTCTAGATCTTTTTGTTCTCAAATTTGAACTAATAATGCTTTAAAATCTTGATTATGACTAAACACTGCCAATCAGATTGCTATCAAGTGAATGTTGTGCACATACGTTGGCATATATTCCCTTTAAGCTCTAACACATGTAATGGAAGTTTATGGCCTTTTGTATTAAGGAAATATATAGTATTCATATCCACATAATTAATTATAATTAATTGTAATTAATTGCACAGAAAAATATACCGTTCTACCCAGGCTACGTGTTCTGTTAGCTTTGTCAGAAGCCAAAGGATTTGTTTCTCTGTGCTGCCTTACTTGGGAGTAATTTTATTGATGGGAATAGCTTTCCATTTCTATAGAAAAAACAATTCCACACACTTAAGGTACAGGCAGCTGAGTGTGACCTGCCTCTGGCTTAGATTGCCAAAACGAGTTAACAGGAATAAAAATCACTCTCCTTCTTCTTCTTCTTTTTTTTTTGTCTTTGTATAGGCATGCATACATATTACTGTTTAAACAAGAGAGAAAAGGCCAGTTCAATTTTCTGTGAGAGCTGAACAACTACTCAGAATATTACTCTGTAAAATTATGAAAGATATATTTTGGAGTATTTAAAAACACCTCCTCGTAGTTTTGCTTTGCTTATTTTCAAAAAGATGCACTGATTTTATTGTTTTGACTGTGGATAAAGGCTGATAAGTTTACAGTTTTTCTCCTACTCTGATCAGCATGCCATTCAGAGTTATGAGCTGTGTACTCTGATGTGTGTCATCACATTTCTTGCAGGTCACAATCTGTATTTGGCCCATATACCGGAAGAGCACTGGTTTTCAGTCCCTAACTGTTCATGTTTTGTTTTTCTGACATTTGGCCTTTCTTGTAATTTGGCCTCCACTGGCCCTTTGAACACATACATCAGCCTGAACGCAAAACAGTAACGTGCAAATACAAGGACTTCCTCATGAACTTGAAGATTTTTTGTTTGTTTATAATTTGTTTTGGTTTTTGTTTTGAGGAGGGAAGGAAGTTTGCCGAAGATTCAGCACATGCTATTGTAAGGATTTAAATATCTTTTTCCCATGATTGACTCTACTTATCTGGGAAGATTTTTGACTTATCTAAGGATGCTCAGGGTGAGAAGCTTTTTGAAGTCTTGACTAACTCGTTGCTCTTGAAGAAAAATTTCAGTAGACTGAAGGAGCGTACACTCCTTTGTTGCACTGGTTACCTGTCACACTCTGAAAAAGAAAATAGCACATTGCTATACAAGCAACGATTAAATTTTTCCAGCATGGCAGACTGGCTAACTGCAGAGAACCCCCTTTGTGATGTAGCATTCATGCCTGTGCACATGAGGAACGCCCTGGGATAGGCCTGTAGCTAAAAAGGTAAAAAGGCTAAGTCTGTTACTCTTGATAAATCCTCAGCTAAGTTACAGGCATGATCAATACCCCTGTTCTTCCCATCGACTTAGAGACTTAACTTATTGGTAGCTGAAAAGTTCTGGACCCTGCTTGAATCAAAGGTGAGGTCTGGTCTATTGCAGAGCTCTTCCAACACGTTTTTGATCTTGCTGTTTGTTGCTAGCTAGCTGTCATGACAGAAATAGTAGGTGATACCTAACCTAAGGTGCACAAGTGATAGGCTTTCTGAAGTACACAAATACAGATACCAAACTGTTACTGCAGAAGGAGGAATGACAGGTTAGAAAGGTTTTACAGACTTACTAGGTTTTAAATTGCTTGCCCATGGCATGAGCAAAATAGGCACGCTCATAAGATATAGAAGGCAAATGAATGAGTGAGGACAGATACAAACTGGCACTAGAAATGGAACAAAACTGCATACTTGGAAGAGGCTGATGGAACTAGCCAGGAGTCTGCTAGAGCTTAACTTTATATTACAGTATGAAATGCCTGCAAGAACAAAACACTTTGTATGGACCTGATGCAAATTTGTGCAGTGTATTCAGTGATGTAATAAGTTTTGGATCAGGACCTGAGAAGGTGCTTCAGATAGCATGTGGTATTTTATTTTGAAGAACACACTTTTTCTTCTTCACTGCAGGTGGATAGCTTTAAAACTCTATCAAATGCATGAAAAAAAAAGTTCTGATATGACAGTGAAAAAAGGAAGTTGTGGCTGGAAAGGTAGTAATCTGTAAGCATTTTCCCCTCTACACTTGATACGGAAGATGCAGGCTATGAATGAAAGCATAAAACCATAGAGTCATAGCTGCATCATATACATCTGTGCATTAGAACTTCAGCCACCCATTTATGCTCTTACTTTCTCACTGATTTTGGTGGGTAATGGAAAGCCTAAATAATAGCTTGAACGTTAGCCATGCTTGTTAATGTTCCAGGCCTATTTGGAAATGAGGCCAAGTGTATATTTTATTGTTTGTTCATTGACTATTCCCTGTACTCTTAGGACAGCAAGTACAGCTTGTAACTCAGAGATTATGGGAAAGGAGAGGTCAAGAGGTGCAGTAGAGCATGCTCATCATCCTGTGCACCATTATTCTAGACTACCTAAATGACCTGCCTGAAGTAAGGACATGTGTACTCAGTAAGGTTTACACTCATCTCCTTTTTTTGGGCATCTGAATTCATTCCTTCAGACTTTCCAGTCTGATTTTCATCAGCCCATCTGCAGTGCTTTTTTACATGATATCATCTATAAAACCCTACTATTCTTAATAATTTTGCTTTCAGTACTGCTGAACATTCTTTTGAGATAAACATGATCAAAAAGTTCAGGTAGCTTTTAGTGATAACTGTATTTAAGAACAAACTCAAATTATACTGTTTATTTAAAATTAAAGCCTTAGATACTATAACAGTACACAATCTTACCTGTATCTTAATCAGACTACCTTTACCAGATTGAGAACAACAAATTCAAATCCTGACTGAGGCAAAAGAGTAATATTGTAGGAAATCTTAAGTAAAATGTGCAGAAGAATTTTTTTATTATTATTATTAGTTCTTGTTTTTGTTCTTGCTAATTCCTCTACTCATTCTTTGAGCTTTAGTTACTTGTTGAGAGTCTTCCAACAGTCATACCTGTATGGAAAATCAGAAGCAAAAATTACTGTCCTTTATATGGCTATCAAAGCTATCACAGTATCACTGAAAAGCAGGCATTGAATTATATGTTGTTTCAACAGTCCAGTGTGAACGTTTCTGATTAATTTAACAAAGTACTTGGAAGACCAAAGGAAATGCGGAACATTGGCCACTTTCTTACTTTAGGAAAGTGAAAGGGTAATTTCCAAACTACTGATGTGTGACGCCTTGTTCTTCATTAACATAGAGGTTATCCTTCAAAGATATTTTTGATTCAAGTATGATATTTTTTATGTATTTTACTGATGTTACCTCAATCAAAATTTCCTCTGATAACTTTTTGGAATCGTGAAGTTCATGTATTATTTATTTCAGTCATGTTTTCCCTCTGTTGGCTCATAATTGATATACCATTTTTATAGCAGGTGGAATTTGTTGATAATTCAGAACTAGAGTATATGATTAGTTAAGAGTTTGGCTTGTAAGTGAGAGGTATCAAGAGAATCCTTGTGTATCCTCCTCCAAACCCAGAACTTTAAAGTTGTAGTTAAGAGTTTTTTTTCTTAAACCTTGTCATAGTTACAAAATAAACTTCAATTATTTGTGTCTGCATGTATGATAAGTATCAGCTGTTTGGAGTATAAACTAGCTTTACAGAAATTGCATGTATTCTGGGGGCATGCGCCTGTCATCTGTGAGTAAGAGTTCTCTGTTAGCACTGGCCAGGAAACAAACCATTTACTTTCATGATAGATAAAATGTGATGTGTTGCACCTAGTACGCATCCTTTAAACTGACCGCTAGCCTTGCGTGTGCACTAAAATAACTACAGCTTTGTGTACATCGTTTGTAGTGTGGATATTATGTTCTTTCTTTGTCTGTTAGTTGATGGTAGGTAATGTAATACATAAGACTTGTACAAGTTTGTGTGCACACACGCTTTTTGGATTCAGATAATTAAACCGTGTAGGCGCTGTCCTAAAGCTTAAATCTTAAAGGGCCAAGCTCTAATCCTGCAGCTGGAGCTATTCAGGGCCAGTTGGAAATGCTACCATTCTATCTCCATAGCATGAAAGTAGAGATCTAGGAGTGTTTTTATGTTTTAACACGTACAACTACTCCCTTTCTATTTCTGGAGGAAAGTGTTCTTCAGTAAATCTGACATAGGCTTGTCATGACAAGAAGAGTTCTTCCCTTGTTAGGAAGTAGGAAAGAGAGAGTCAGGGATAAATCAGTAGTTCCTCTGAGTGCTCCGAGGAGATCACTTAAAATTATGCCCTCTGTATTTTTCTTTAACCCAGCTCTGTGAAGTAAGTTGACACTCACTATGTATGTGCAAAGTTTTTTGTCATCAGTTGAATAAGTACAAAATCATGGCGTATTGGTGCAGGGGATGGACTCTGTCTTACAATGTTTGTGGACCTGAGCCTTGCATAAGCCTTTAGAAAATTAAATACCTGAAACATAATGACAGATTTCAAACTTGTGTGAAATTCTTAGTTGGGAATGGTACATGATACATGGATGTGTGCCTCCTATATTGGGAGTTCTGCCCATAAAATAGCATTTGGACATTGAGTTACCAATTTTGAGTGCCCGAGAGCCCATTTGGCTAACCAGATATAAGCTGGAAATGATAGACTGAGGTGTTCCTTTTAAGTCTTCAGAACCCTAAAACTAGTGAGAGACCATTCATTGCATTCATGCTTGCTCGTTTAACTCAAAAATAATGTTTTAAAAGATTTCTCAGCTATGATGCTTCAGGAGGCTAAGGAATATTGCAGATAGATCCTCCAAATCTTAACTGTCTAATCAATTTATATTTTTAGGAACAAATAACTGCTATGTACTTGGGTTTGTGTGTGTGTGTGTTTTTTAGTTTATCACCTGAGCTGTATTTCTTCAAAATCCACATAGAGATGATGGGATTCAAAACAAGTTTAAGATATAACTGTTTATAGTTCTTGGAAAATGTTTCAATTTAGTTGTTTCATTCCAAATAATTGATTGCCCACTGTAGGCAGATTTTGGCAAGAGCAAACTTGATAATAAATAAATAATAATTAAAAAAAAAACCAACAAGCATATTTACTGAGTATTTTTGACAGATTTACAAATAACATACTGGTAGTCCAAAATTATTTAGAAGTAATAATAATTTTTGCTTTGTAATCATACTCACACACGTGCGTGTGCATTATTTTGGGACAGATGAGTGGCTAGAGTACAGAGGAGGCTTTTTGGTTTGTTGATTTTGGATTATTATTATTATTTTTTTTAATATATCTACAAATCGACACTGGAGAGCCCAGCTTGCTAACCTGACCTGGAAAGATAGTAAGTACTTTCCACATTCCACTGCGAGTAAAACATCCAATGAATGAGTTTTTAAATATCTTTTTAAATATCTTCTTAAAGCATCTCTTTTTATGAGTTAGTGTAAAGCATTTGGTGCTTGCACAAAGCATTTGTAAAGGTCTCTGAGGTAATTCACATTAATTCACATTAATTCACAAAGTCAACTTAAACTTGACTTCAAATATTTTTATTCAAGATTTTTTATTACATATTTTTCAGAACAGGTCACAGACTTGAATGAAGTTGCATTCAAGTTAATTTAAAATATAGCCCTAAAACTGTACTCACACTTCATCCTCTTTACATTTTACTCTGAGTGTTGTAGATGACAAATGCCAAAAAAAAAAAAAAGAAAGAAAGAAAGAAAGGAAGGAAGGAAGAATGGCAATCTGTGTGGTAATATTCACCCACAGTGATGAATTATTTTAAGCTCCAGTTTACATTGGATGATTTTCTGCATGCTTGCATTTGATCAGATGTTATTTTTAAACAAAGAAATTCAATAATGTGAAATAATGCAGCCTGTGCTGTGTTCAGTAGAGTAATATCAATACAGGTGAAATGCTGAATATCTATAACATTTATCCTAAATACATATTAGCTCTTTATAAAGGCTTCGTGTAAGGGCAGTTGTCCCACAAACTGTAGGTAAGTCTGTTGGCAGACTACTTGTTAGCACTGTAGTGCATGAAATGACAAGGTCATCAACAAAAACAAGTTACAGGATGCAACACAGATGTGTCTGTGTTTATATTTGTGCTGAGTTCAAAACATGTAAGTTTTGGCAAATTATTACATCAGGGAAGATGCTTCTAATACACAGGAATTTGTTTTTCTGTTAAGCAGAGAAATAGTTGATGTTGGGTAAGTACGTAGGCCACTCTGAACGTAATGCCTCCTGTCTGTTTCCGTGGACACTACAACAGGTACAATTGCTCAGTAACACTATTTGGTAGAGTAAATTCTCAGCTATGAGGCATTTATTTTTCAGCACAGTCACCACCATTAGCTATGCATTTTTACCAGCTATGCACAAGAGACTGCATGCAGTGCTTGTAAAATTCTGTGCCAGCCAGAATTTCACCATTGCTGAAACACAGCTCCCACTGCCTCACTGTCTCACATCCATTGTTTGGTTTCCATGATCGTTTAGCAAGCATTGATGAATGCCAGTGGTTGCCATTTTTTCTGCATGGAAAAATTCAGTGACACACCTTTGCTTCATCCACACTTCCATTTCAGACACCATTTTGTCAGACTGCCCCTCTGCTGCATCTGTTGCACAGCAGCAGAATGGGATGGAATGTTGGCAGGAATGTTCAGCTCCTACTGCCATACCACCAACATCCACCCAGAGGATGTCATGGGCCCACACAGTCAAATAGGAGGCATTACTTTCAGAGCATCCCTCATATGTTGATGTTTATTCTTTGCACGGTTTTATGTATCAGATTTAAATATTGCAAGAGGAACATATTTATACAGAATTATATTTTTGGAATCTTTGGGGCTGTTTTTCTTCAGTCATTAACCATTTATTTACCTATTCACATCATGCTTTATTCCTTTGCTAGATTAATTATCTGTCCATGCTATCCCAGTTTTTTCTTTTTATTTAGGTGGTTTGATTATTTATTTGCACAGATTTGAATGTGCTTGCCCCTAGGATATGACTGTAAAGCAAAGAGGCAAAACTGTTTTATCTTTGATGACCTGGCGCACTTATTAAAATCTAATTGTTGAATTATTGAGGTGGATCTTGACATAGTCTTCCATGGAGTACTGTCCAAGCATGATAAAAGCCTTCAGTGAATTTTACTATTTCTTGCTCTTATTTTGATTTCTTTTTCATCTTGGTCTAAAAAAAAAACCCAACAAAACAAAAAGCCCAGGAAGCTGCTACCTGCAGTGTTTGTTGACATTTATAGTATTAGCCATCAGCTCTACTGCCTACTTTGTTCACTGTGGAATTTTCAACATGGCAAAAACTTTGCAAGATTATTTAATTTTGCAAAAGCTTACATTTTTCTCCCTAGTACGTCAAGAAATCTTTTTGTGATTATTGCAAATGAACAATTTGAGCAAAGCATTTCTTGATCTCAACTGTAATGGCCAAACCTAAGCAAAGACTATATCCTAAGCAAAGACTTGTAACCACATTGTAAAGGGGTCCAGGCACTGTCTAGTGCAAAGCACGCTAGGCAAAATCTTACCACCACTGCAGACACCATGAGAATTCTGGCATTAGCAAAAATAGAACCACCATTATAATGGGGTTAATATGCTTAATAAGCATGACAAGAAGTTTTGTGGGATCACAAAATTGATTCCCTCTTTCCATATCTGTGTTTCTGTTAATTTAAAATTACTACTACTCGATCTTTAAAACAAATAAACTTGAAGGGGGATCATATACTACTAGTTTGTACTAGTTTTTTTTTTTTTTTTTTTTTTTTCAGGAAAGGGAAACAAATTATATATATATATGCAATATATTTTTACACTGTTTATTAATTTTAGAAAGTATTAAATGTATCACTTTATCAGTGTGAGTGTTATAGTAATGACAATGCTATGGATGTTTTAAACGTTCCAGAGTTGATTCATTAAATTCTAAAAAAGTATTAACAATGGAAAATCTATTTTGTCTCCAATGTTACTATCAAAGTTTTAGGGAAAAAGTTGAAGTACAGCAACTTGAATAGCACTGTAAAAGCTTGGCTTGGGAAGTTGTAGTGAAATCCATACTGTAAACACCATTTTTTAAAGCAGGAGTTCTCATCAAGTATGTTACTGCTGTTGACTGACTGTTTAAATTTGTATCTTTAGTTGGTAAAGTGATCAATAAATGTGTTACTACATCATTTTCTGGTTTTCTTGAAGTAAATTATGCTTGCTGTTAAACTTTGTTGCAACAATTATTTTACAGTGTAGATGTTAAGCAAATTGCTAATGTACAAATTAAAAAATACATATTCATGAACAGCTAGTGCTCTGACTGTTAACAGATTTTTTATTTTTTACCACTTCTTTTCCTAGTTTTAATAACAAAGCTAGTCATTGGCATTGTGGCTGAAGAGGAAGAAGAGCCTGCATGCTCTTTGCACTGGCAGAGGTGATCCACTTGTTGCTGTTGCCACTGCTACATCACACCACTCATTGCCTCACTGTGCTAACATCCACTGCTTGGTTTCCATGAACGTTTGGCAATTTTTTCTGCATAGAGGAAGTCAGTTTCACATTTTTGCTTCATACACTTTTCCATGTCGTACATCCTTTGTTGGATTGCATCTCTGCTACCATCTGTAGCATGGCAAAAAAAAATATACAGAGTATTGTCAGGAAGGTTCAGCTTCTACTGCCATATCACAAGCATCCACATCTGATTTAGTGGACCCACATAATAAAATAGGAGATTTTTGGAGCAGCCCTAATAAATGGGAAAAAAAGAACAAAGGCAGCTATTTAGGTAGTAAGGGATAAACTAGTACAAGAAAAATTGAAGGATGCTAGGCTTGTTGCTGGTATACTTGTGGGGCCATGCCCTTGATCTAGCTGTCTTAGTACTGTCTTAGTAAATTCAGTTCCTGACTGAGGCAACTCTATTCTGTGTACATACATGCATATTGATGTGTAATTGCCAAAAACTGGCATCGTGCCACAGATCACAGTGGTGCCTGTGCTGCCAGCAACTGAGTGAGTTATATGTGAGTCAGCAGCTACAGTACTGGTCACAGATGTAAAATCATATTGCCAGTTTACATGGATTCACACGAATCTAGATCGACCTAAATGGTGGCCACTTGTTACATTAAAAACATTAAAAAAAAAAGTTTACATCTGTACATCTTTATTTTATTAGCATCATAATGTGAAAACTTAATTGCACTCATAAGTAACAAAATAATCCATATCGTGCCATCATAACTTCCTATTTAGAGAAAATATCATTCCCCAAAAGATATTAATTAAGGTAAGTTTTCATCATAGCTTTTCATCTGGTCTGGACAAAGACAGCAGCGAACAAGTAGTTCCCAATCTTGTCTGTAGGTAGTTTATTGCCTACAGTAATGTAGATTATTTTGGGACACAAGAATCAAAAAGCATGCAAAAGCTAAATTGACTAGCAACACAAAGAACTGTTTTCTTATGTTACTTGATAGTAACGTAGGCCTGCATAACTATTGGATTACAGTTAGTCTTCAGAAGCATCCACCTTTCTAGTTATTATGGATGCATCAACCTGAAGAGAATAGAAAGAACTTTTGCTTCCTGTAGAAAATCTAGACTCTCCTTCCTCCTGAATGGAGATATAAAAGGAACATCATATGTTTGTACAGAAGCATATAGTTTCAGACTGAAAAGTAGCCTTTTCCTTCGTTGTACGGCATTTGAAACAAGTTTCATTGTGGAAGTCACAATCCAGACCTTTCAGGATCGGCTGATAAATGAGGAAATGCGCAACAATTTTGTGCAGTTCTCCACTTCTACTTACGAAAGAAGGAGGAATTCTTTTTTGTTTGTTTACTTTTGTTTTCTTTTTTCAGAAAGGTCATTGTGGAACTCCTTGTTTTCTCTTCTGTTTTTAGTTCATGGCCAACTAGAAGTACGAAGTCTTTGAGGGCCTATTCATTCTCATTTACAACTAGAAGGAAAATACAAAGTAAGGCAGACTTGAATCATTATTAGTCATGGAAGATGAGCTGACAGGGAAGGAAACCGGTCTGGCTGAACAGAGACGTTTGGCTGGAACCTGGGAACAAAAGGAAAGTTTATCAACTTTGGAAGAGGGAGCGAACAACTTATGTGGATTACAAGTATGTAGTGATGCTGTGCAGGGAGAAAATTAGAAAGGCCAAAGCACAGCTGAACTGAACTTGACCACTAAGATGAAATACAACAATAATTTTTTTTCTATAAATAAATCAACAGTAACAGGAAGGCAAAGGTGAATCTCCATCCCTTGTTGGACATGGAGAGGAACTTGGTGACCAAGGATCAGGATAAGGCTGAGGTACTTAATGTTTTCTTTGCCTCAGTCTTAGTAAGACTAGTTACTCCCTGGGCACACAGCCCCCTGCTCTGATAGATAGGGATGGGGAACAGATTAGGCTCTGCATAATCCATGATGAGATGGCTTTGGACCTGCGCTGAAGGCTGGACGCTCACAAGTCCATGGAATCTGATGGTTTGTACCCTAGAGTACTGAGGTGGATGTGTTTGCCAAGCCACTCTCCATCATCGTTTGGCAGTCCTGGCTAACCAGGGATGTCCTGGGGACTGGAGACTGGCAAATGTGACACCCATCTTCAAAAAGGGCCGGAAAGATGATCCTGGTAGCTACAGACCTATCAGTCTCACCCAGTGCCAAGGAAAGTCATGGAATGGACAATCTTAGGAGACGTTATGGATCAATTAATGGTCAACCAGGGGATCAGGCCCAGTCAGCATGGGTTCATGAATGGTAGATCCTGTTTGACACACCTGATTTCATCCTAAGACAAGGTGACCCACCTAGTGGATAAAGGTAAGGCTATCAGTGTGGTCTACCTGGACTTCAGTAAAGCCTTTGACACTGTCTCCCACATCTTCACAAATGACCTGGCTGCTCACGGTTTGGATGGGCATACGTGCTGCTGGGTGAAACACAGGCAGGATGGTTGGACCCAAAGAGTTGTGGTCAATGGGGTTAAATCCAGTTGGCGGCCAGTTGGTGGCCAGTCACAAGTGGTGTCTCCCGGGGCTTGGTATTAGGACCTCTCCTATTCAACATCTTTATCAATGATCTCGATGAGGGGATTGAGTGCACCCTCAGTAAGTTTGCAGATGACACCAAGTTAGGAGGGAATGTTAATCAGCCAGAGGGTAGAAAGGCACTACCGAGGGACCTGGATTGGCTGGATTGATGGGCCAAGATAAATTGTATGAGTTTAAATAGGAGCAAGTATCAGGTCCTGCATTTTGGCCACAACAACCTCAGGCAATCCTACAGGCTTGGAGAGGAGTGGCTGGAAAGCTGCCTCATGGAAAGGGACCTTGGTGTACTGATGGACAGGCGGCTGAATATGAGCCAGCAGTGTGCCCAGGTGGCCAAGAAGGCCAATGGCATCCTGGCTTGGATCAGGAATGGTGTGGTGAGCAGGACTAAGGAAGTCATCCTGCCCCTGGACTCGGCACTGGTGAGGCCTCACCTCGAGTGCTGCGTTCAGTTTTGGGCACCTCAGTACAGAAAGGACATGGAGGTGCTGGAGCAGGTCCAAAGAAGGGCACCTAGAGGCTCTGAGCAGCCTTGTCTAGTGGTTGGCAACCCTGCACGTAGCAAGGGATTGATACTAGATGATCATTGTGGTCCCTTTCAACCCAGGCCGTTCTATGATTTTAAGGCTTGTGATGGGCTTGGAGAATATGCCCTATGAGGAGTAACCAAAGGAACTGGGGCTGTTTAATGTGGGGAAGAGGAGGCTGAGGGGAAACCTTATTGCTCTCTTCCAATACCTGAAATGTGGTTGCAGTAAGAGTAGGGTTGGTCTCTTCCTACTGGTGACAGGTGACAGGATGAGGGGAAATGGCCTTAAGTTGCACCAGGGGAGGTTTAGGTTGGATATCAGGTCAAACATCTTTACACAAAGGGTTGTTAGCACTGGAATAGGCTCCCCAGGGAGCTGGTTGAGTCACCATCTCTGAATGTGTTTAAAGACCATTTGGATGTGGTGCTCAGGGACATGATTTAGGGGAGGGTTGTTAGAGTTAGGGTAGTATGGTTGGGTTGTGGTTGGACTTGATGATCTTGAAGGTCTTATAAACACTTAAAAATACCAGGTAGCAAAATTATATTTTTATTTTTAAACTTATGGTCCATGAGGGTGGGCCTCAGGTGGACACTTTTGAGTAAATATTTTGTAACACAAAGAATAATGTTTTCAATCACTTTCAATGTACTGCAAGGGGAGCTTGTGGATGAGTATTCACTTTATCTAAGTTACATATATATATAACTTAGAGAGATTAGACTTTATTTCTTGGCTTTTGGCAAGTCTTAGAGTAGGAGGATTTGGGATAATATATTTTTTTAAATGCATCTTAGGTTGGAATAAGAGCAAACACAAATTCAGTTACTGCAGTTTAAATGGTGAGTGGTTGTAAGAGACAGAGCTGAGTTAAGGTCTCAAACTCTCATCAGAAAAAGGAGATGTTACTGTCACCTGTGGAAGCACCTGTGAGAGACTAAAGTCTTGCAATTACCTGGAAAAGACTGGATAGCACCTTTCTGGATGGACTTACAGTAAGAGAGGGGGAAGAGTGCAAGAGTAGTACCCTACCCCTCTACACCTTCCCAAAACCCTTCTGGAAGGTTCTAAAATAAGGGATTGAGCGGGTGCACCCTAGAAGTTCCTAGAACAGTGGACTGAGTGTATGTGAATCAGACTACTGAAGGCACAAACTCTAAAGAGCCGTGCTCATGCTGGCCACTAGAGGACCAGAACTATGAGCAGAGGCCATCGCTGGATTGGTGATATTCTGGTTTCTCTTCAGATTGTATAAATCTTTCACCTTTTACTAAAGACTTCTGTGAAGAGGAACAAGCACAGGTGTCATGCAATTTTTTGAGGTCTTTATACAGACTGGGGGAAGATCTCCTTGAGAGCAGCACAGCCCTGCAGAGAAGGACTTGGGGGTCCTGGTGGACGAGAAGCTGGACATGAGCCAGCAGTGTGCGCTTGCAGCCCGGAAGGCCAACTGTGTGCTGGGCTGCATGAAAAAAGGGGTGGCCAGCAGGGAGAGGGAGGTGATTGTCCCCCTCTGCTCGGCTCTTGTGAGGCCCCATCTGCAGCACTGCGTCCAGGCCTGGGGCCCCCAGCACAAGAAAGATGCAGAGCTCTTGGAACAAGTCCATAGGAGGGCCACTAAGATGATCAGAGGGCTGGAGCACCTCTCCTTCTGCTCATATAAGATAATATTGTTGCAAGTTTTGCCAAGCCGCTATCAATTTTAATTCTGCTGAGTTTTAAGTCCATGTGTCCATAAGTCCATGATTTGTTTTAACTTCTTGAGTAATTGTTTCTTTTTGGTTTCCACACTGAGAAATAAAAGGTTGACATCACCTAGCCCGCAGAGTGGGACAGGATAGTGGCCACTCACCGTCATCTGCTACTTCAGCTGCTGTAACCTCAAGGTCACTATTTCATACCTTCAGGGCCCCTGCTGCTGCCACCATAGGCATTGTGAAGAAGTAAAAAGTCTGAGGCTGACTGCTGTGAATTCTTTGTTCACTGTTGTTGTTCCCAGGAATGAGACTCAATGGGAGCAGTCTATGCCACAAAACTAAACAGTGTTGGGACACTTGTAGCTGGACAGATGTTGTAAAGATATCCAAATATTATGGAATCTGCTGTTGAAAAGAGCTGTCAGAGGTCAAGTTGAAGAGTAGATGTAATATATGTAGCACTGTTCTGTTGGCATAGCTGTGTGTTACATGCAGTTGATTACAATTTCTTGGTATCTTAGAAGCGACATTTAACAGCTGTTCTGAAATTGAACAGAACAAATTTTGTTTTGTTTATAATTATTGGCAATCTATACACAAGGTAACAGCCACTGATGTTGTTCTTGCAACAGTTTTTGTATGTTATAGACTATTAAGGACTTTTTTTTCCCCACAGAAAGAATACTGTAGTCTAAATACTTTTCTGGCAGTGTAATTTCTATGGTTTTGTAATTTCTCCAATAGATGGCAGTAGTTACTTATTGGCTGATAAATTGACACTATTTGTATTGCAATATACAAACACAGAGCAGTAATGACCAAATATGTATATATATGGGCTTAACAAATAATTCATACATATTTTTGTATGTTTCACATCATTTGTTTTCTACATTTGAACATAAAATTCTCTCTGAATACTTTCCTTTTGAGCCTCTTTTTTTTTTTTGCACAGAATTATGTGACATTATAAAACCAAGAAAACAGGGTTACCCAAGGTTAATGACAAATTTACCTGATGGTAGGTTATCATACTGCAGATACCTTAACTGTCTGATATTAGCTGATGAATGATCTGCTAGATTTTATGACAGGGAATTAGTAGAAGTGAATATGTGACACCAAGTCTTTTATTGTTAAACATGAAAAGCTCAGATGAAAGTTCATTTTCAAGCACTTGTATAGCTTCTATGATTCTACCCTCTAAGCTGAAAACTGGACTCAAAAAGGAAAGATTTTTGACTATAGCACTTCTTAAAGATGAAAGTCGGAGGCTATGCTGTAGTTTCATGGCTTCATGGATATACTGTATTAACTGCACTTATTTTGCTCAGTTTCCTTTTTACATCAGCACATCTCTGTACAGATCCTGAGATCAATTTTTGGATGGGAGAGCAGTACCAAACTGTCACTGAACTGTATAAATATTGGTCTGAAGTCTTCTGTGCAGTTATGCCTAATCATAAAGTCTTCACAAACCTAAGCTATGCTTGTGATGTTTCATTTGCCAAATAAAGTGTTGCCATAGTTAATATACTGGCATGCTTAGAGTAGAGCATTTTTTCACCAGAATGATATGTGCTAGTTTAATGCAGTTTTATAAGCAGTCACCATTATTGGTATGCAGATGGAAGAAAAAATGGGATGATTTTTTGTGTTGCAGAAATAAAAGTGAGTTCTGATTTTGCTAAATTAATGATTTTTGGATGAAAATGACCATGCTCTGCTATTTCTATGAAAAGCTGCATGGTGTCTTGCTAACTCGGTAGTCTCAGTAACACAAATATAGTATTGGCTGGCATAATGAATCTCAGAAGCCCAAACAGAGATATGGAGAACTAGAAAACCCTGAAAAACACTGAAGATCAACCTCAAACATAGGTATGGTTCAAAATCTAGCAATTAGAAATTGATACAAAAGAATATAACTTCAGTATTTGTGAATGAGGAGATTTAAATAACTCAATGCCAGCCCTTCTTTGTTTCATGAATTCAAAGTGAGTTTCCTACCACCCTGACTTACTCAGTTTTCCTGCATGCTACTTGTTATCACTTACCTATTTCTATTTTTCTACCTACATATAAACATGTGGCTTTACTGTGTTCCACTCTGTGCCCCCTGTCATGGTGTTTTATCTCTTCACTTCTGCCTGCTGGACACTTTATTTTCTGAAAAGGATGATATCCAGATGGCTGTCTGAAAGAAACGTGTAAGTGATTACTTTGAGTGAAAAAACATGCATTTCTCTCTGCTTTTCCTTACTACATTGTCATTATGTGGCTTTACAATATCTGTGGGAGAGCCAGCACGACAGTGGTCATTCTGTACTCCACATTGACTGGGCAACCTGTTTTTACTGTGAGGTTTCATGTCACAGTGGTGATGAATAGGGAGTGGTGATGAATGTGAGGAAGATAACTTTTTCCTCTTTTTGCCTTGTAGCTGTAATGCCATGAAGAAGAAAGGATGGGGAGGGGAAAGGCAGTAAATGATGGTCAGGGAGCAAACAGGCACACTTGAAATACACAGTAAGGTAGTCTCCTGAATGTTCACAATGTTCTGAAAGCCTAGTCCAAGATTTTTATATCAACAGTATTTGTCAGAAAGAAGAGTTAACTTTTTCTTCTTACACTTTTGGATCATGGATTCTCCTTTTATATCATCATCATATATTCAAAGACTCCAAAATAACACAAAGGAATACAAGTGCTGCATAACAAAGTGTGTCTCTGTAATATATCTTCTTTCAGTGTTTCAGATGTGCCACTATACAAGTCTTGTTCTTTTCTATGTTTCTCCTTACTGTAGGTGGGCTTTCTATACAAATATTAAACGACGACATAGCATTTTCTGCTTGTGATCTTTGGAGGGTAGCATAAGAAACCTACACAGCTGTACAGTTGATAGCCTTCTTTGATTTAGAGAATGTCAGATATGTAAAGCCATTTTCAGTTATCAATGCGTAGATATAATGAAGAGCACTTGTATGTAAGGGCTTTCCTGCTGTTCTTGGATAGAGACACTTATGACAGTCTTAATGTTTGAGCTTCTTGTATGAGAAATTAATTAGTAATTGCCAGGGCAGTAAAACAACCATGTAAAACTGTCACATGTTTGTCTGCCTTGAGGTAGTTCTCATACATGTGAGGCAATACATACAACTACAGGACAAATTAAGCACGTTGTTCTAAGACAGTGCATTTTGATATCTTACAGTTCTGCTGTGATGTCACTGCTGTCTTTCAGCCCACTAGTCAAGTAGTGTTTGAGTCCAAGTCCACTGCACTCTTTTGCAGGTAATCCTAATTCACAAGTTACTCACTGCTTTAGTTTACATTTGCTACAACTACCAGCCTTCATCACAATTTACTACAAACTGCCTAACTTTACTTTGGAAAAGAAATAGGATAATAATCATGTAAGCATGACAGAAGCAAGGTGGGTTATTGGTGGGAAACATCTTGTAATAAGTTGTTTGTATTTGGAAAGGCAATAGTAAATATAACAGGGTAGGCCAAGTAGCTTTGACCAGTATTCAGCTCTCCCACTCACATATGGCTCCCTCAATTTCTAACCAACGTGGATATGCCTAATGTATAGTGCTGCAGCTTTGTTTATTTGAGCTGAAGAAATGAGAATAGTTTCCAATCCAGTTAATAATTTTTATCACTGGTATTGCTTTTTGAGAGAAGCAAGAAGATTCTGTGGGAGGGGAAATCTATGGCTGGATCCATACAGGGTGTTTTGAAGCTGTGAAATGAGTAAAATTTTCTTGTGGTCACTATTTTGTCCAAGCTTTCAGCCATAGAATGAGAACCATAGGAATCCCAGATTCATGTGCTGGGGGATATGGATGCAAATCCAACAGTCTGAAAGATTTGAAGGTTGGGATGAAGAGGGGTTTGGCCTCTTCTCCCAGGCAACAAACAGGACCCGAGGAAATGGCCACAAGTTGTACCAGAGGAGGTTTAGGTTAGACATAAGGAAGAACTTTTTCTCTCAGAGAGTGGTCAGGCACTGGAATGGCTGCACAGGGAGGTGGTGGAGTCGCCGTCCCTGCAGTGTTCAAGAGGCATCTGGACGAGGAGCTGCAAGATATGGTTTAGTGCTTGTGGTAGCAATGGTAGTGGAGGACAGTTGGACTAGATGATCTTGTATGTCCTTTCCGACCTTGTGATTCTATGATTCTATGATTCTGTGACTTGCAATAACTAACTGATTTGAAACTTTAAGGAAAAAGTTAACTCTCCACATTCTATAGGCTTCTTGTCCATGTAGAATGTGGTCTAACAATTTTCTGGTTAGGGGTTAGAGCTTCACTTTAAGTGTTAACAGTGTATAAAAAACTTCAGCTTGGATGACTGTAAACTATGGAAACTAATTCAAATGCTATTTTAAAATAAATGCAGTGATCAAATAAACCATTCAAAATGTGTCTAATTTGCTTGGTTGGAGGTTGAATAATTAGCCTTTGTCTTCGAGACCACAGCCAAATTACAAAATCAGATTCAGATAAGAAGGTTTAGGATCCAAGATCTGTGTTCTGTTCAGTGAAGGCAGAACTTTTCTCTGCATCATTTTGTTAGCTGAGATGCATGTACCCGGTGGCACATCATCTGTGATGGCAGAGTTGATGATT